AAGGGCATTGAGAAGAACTAAAGAAATCCAAATAAAGTATAAAGATTAGTGATGGAAAAAAATAATAAAAATGTTAAAGCTCAACACTGAGGCCCTGAGACATCTGTGGGTGTGGTCCATGGGTCAGAGAAGAACAGGTAGGGGGTGTTCAGAGTGGAAGATTCTGACATGTATAATTTTTTTATTTTTAATTTTAATTTTAATTTTTTTGGAGAGGTTTTTGCTATAGGGCGCGTGTGCTAGCCAGCCAGACAGAGAGAGACAGAGAGACAGAAAGTGAGAAATCACCCCCCGGGGGGATGGTCACGCTGCAATCCCTTCTCCTCCATTCTCCTCTTGGGATCTTGGGCACGCACGCACACATGCCCGGCGTGAGTTTTAAGCCACCGGGTCCGGGACGCGAACCGTGGTCGACTACGTGGGAGTCCAGTGACATAGCCATTACGCTAACTGCTGGTCCCTGACATGTATCATTTTTAAAAGTCTTTCTTTCTTTAGTGGATTTAAGTTGACATCAATAAGAAGAGAGAGATTCATTTTCCTGACGTAAAATATCTATGTTAGTGGTATTGCATTTGATAGACCAGTAAAGTAAAACCACAATCATACACCAATCTTGTCATAAGTTATGCTTTGTCCTAAAACATTTTCAATGTGTCAGTCATTCACACTCATTTAAATTATGGTTGTCTGCCATTTCACACGTCAACCATGGCTGAGTCATCCAGCTGTGGCCCTGCCTCTCTCCAGGGTGGTAAGACCAGGTGTCTTTCTGGGTCTGTGTCAAGAGTGTTGCCTCCCTTTCTTGAATACCCACTATGTGAAGGCTACGGTACTAAACTTGTGGAGGAAAGAAGATACCTTTTTCTGTGCTCAGTCACAACAAAATGGAGGAGATAAATCACACTGAAATAGAAAGTCCATTGTGATCAGGAAAAACAACAAAACAAAACAAACAAACAAACTAACAAACAGAAAAAAAAAAGAAAGAAAATAATACAGTCTTCTTTACACGTGTTAGTGGTTTGTGCATATGTTTCAAAAAGACATTGCTACTATTCTAAGACACTTACAGGACAGCATTACACAACTATACTCAAAACATCTTTTTTATTCTTTTTTTTTTCTTAGCTGGGACTGTTAGGAGAAGCATTTCTGATTTGTGAGGCCATCCTAGGTCACGTTCCTACAGAACACAAAGTCACAAGGTTTAACATTAGACAGTCTCTGGAACTTGTTTGATGAGACAGTGCCAAACTGTTTTGCAGGTCAAGATATCAATCACTCTGGCAACGACTAGGCTCATGTAGGACCAAACTGGAATTCTGCAACATTCCCAGCAATTCTTGAGCTATAGCTTGGCACACATCCTACTTACACAAGGAAAGTGCACCAGAGCGTCCTCTCTCCTCCATTCTCCTCTTGGGATCTTGGGCACGCACGCACACATGCCCGGCGTGAGTTTTAAGCCACCGGGTCCGGGACGCGAACCGTGGTCGACTACGTGGGAGTCCAGTGACATAGCCATTACGCTAACTGCTGGTCCCTGACATGTATCATTTTTAAAAGTCTTTCTTTCTTTAGTGGATTTAAGTTGACATCAATAAGAAGAGAGAGATTCATTTTCCTGACGTAAAATATCTATGTTAGTGGTATTGCATTTGATAGACCAGTAAAGTAAAACCACAATCATACACCAATCTTGTCATAAGTTATGCTTTGTCCTAAAACATTTTCAATGTGTCAGTCATTCACACTCATTTAAATTATGGTTGTCTGCCATTTCACACGTCAACCATGGCTGAGTCATCCAGCTGTGGCCCTGCCTCTCTCCAGGGTGGTAAGACCAGGTGTCTTTCTGGGTCTGTGTCAAGAGTGTTGCCTCCCTTTCTTGAATACCCACTATGTGAAGGCTACGGTACTAAACTTGTGGAGGAAAGAAGATACCTTTTTCTGTGCTCAGTCACAACAAAATGGAGGAGATAAATCACACTGAAATAGAAAGTCCATTGTGATCAGGAAAAACAACAAAACAAAACAAACAAACAAACTAACAAACAGAAAAAAAAAAGAAAGAAAATAATACAGTCTTCTTTACACGTGTTAGTGGTTTGTGCATATGTTTCAAAAAGACATTGCTACTATTCTAAGACACTTACAGGACAGCATTACACAACTATACTCAAAACATCTTTTTTATTCTTTTTTTTTTTTCTTAGCTGGGACTGTTAGGAGAAGCATTTCTGATTTGTGAGGCCATCCTAGGTCACGTTCCTACAGAACACAAAGTCACAAGGTTTAACATTAGACAGTCTCTGGAACTTGTTTGATGAGACAGTGCCAAACTGTTTCGCAGGTCAAGATATCAATCACTCTGGCAACGACTAGGCTCATGTAGGACCAAACTGGAATTCTGCAACATTCCCAGCAATTCTTGAGCTATAGCTTGGCACACATCCTACTTACACAAGGAAAGTGCACCAGAGCTGAAACATTCATATTCGCTTGGTGCATTGCAGTTCTCTAGTGAGGCAGTGGCAGCAGGGAACTGTTTATAACGCTCTTTTCGAAGACTGATTGTAATTCAGGGATGTCAGGGAATATCTTTACAGAGCATACAAAAGAACAGCAATAACTGTTCTAATTACAAGGAAGACTAATACATTGACTAAGGAAATCGCTGGGAAGAGTAACAAAGTTGTTCCTTGTAGAACAATTCAGAAAGAGAGTAGATATAGAATACAAGTCTCCTTGCTGGTGCTAGTAGAAATAGTAAGGACCTTAAGAGGAATGTCCAGGGACCAGCAGGTGACATGGTGGTTAAAGGTATAGGATTCCCACATGGCTGACTGTGGTTCGAGTCCTAGACCTGGCAGCTTGCTTTCTTGCTTTCTTTTTCTCTCTCTCTCTGTATCTGGTCAGATGAAATAATAATAATAATAATGATAATAATAATAAATGGAATGAAATAAACAATTCTTAACAAAAAGGAGGAATGCCCAGCTAAATGAATGAATTTGTAATGCTGGGAAGGCAGCTTGGACTTGAAATACACACCTAGCATTTGAAACCTGATAACATGGTAGGATTCAGTGGAGCCAGATGCCAGTTACAAGGTGGAAAACCATGCAAAGAGCCATAATTCTCAGCTGGTTCTCTAGTGTAAACATCTTGTCACTTTCAAAATTGCTTTGGTCAAGTATTAATGAATGGAATTTACCATTGTTGCAACTAAGGATACGTTCAGTTCAGATATGTACAAAATGCCCTTCAGAAACTCAAGTTAGGATGATTACGAGGCAAGCATAGAGGGCATGTACAATTGTCTACCACATTCTAGAAAGTAGGTAATCTTTCCTTGTAGCTGGCTTCATCTCTTCTGTTCACTCCTTGCCATTTATTATTCACTTTGGAATACTTGGCCCTTCTTTAATCCTGCACACTATCCTTGGGCAGTCTTCACTGTGCCTGTGGCTTCCCTTGGCCCTTAGGCACCAATGGCTTCCTAGCAGTCATGGGAACATGTTCAGTCAGTCGTTTGAAACATGACTCTGCCACTTCTTACCTCGATTAAGGAAAAGTCACCTTTCCTATGAAGTGGGACTTACAGTATCTGCTTAAAGAGTTGACATTAAGAATAAAATGGTGCAGGTAAAAACACTTGTACATTGTTGAGTCTAAATAATATTAGCAAATATTACTGTTAATAAACATATCTCAGGAAAATCAGAAGCTGTAATCAGAGAGGATTCCTAGGACAGCATGGATTTATAAAACCATTGGCTAACATGTGTTGAGCAATTAGTAGGAGTCAGGAACTGAGCTAACTCTTCATATGTTAACTCATACAATTCTGAAAACCACCCTGTAACTACAGTGATCGCCATTTCCGAAAGCTGGGCAGGGAGGGGTTATGTAACTTGCCAGTGTACGCACCAGTAGGAAGCGGCAGACTGGGACAGGAATCAGTCTGGAGTAGTCTGGCTCAACGGCTCTGTTTGGGTACTGCTATAAAGCTTTGGTATGTGACAAATTTATTTCAAACCATGTTGTTACTTCATTTCATGCCCGTGACTTGTTCTTTTAAAAACAGAGCTAGAAAATATATCCAAGAGAAAGTAAGTGAGAGACTGAATTTGGAAGGAAGAAGAATGGTTATAAATCCTAAGCTTTTCTTCCATACTTCACAAAAGAAACAATATTCACTGTTAATACATATAAATGCCTGGGTGCTAGGTACTTTGTAAGGATTAGAGATGAAAAAAAAATCCTTGTATTAAGAAATCTATGGCACTGACAGGTGGCATGGTGGTTAAGGCACTGGACTACCACACGGTTGACCACAATTCAAATCCTGGACCTGACAGCTCAGCCTCTCTCTCTCTCTCTCTCTCTCAGTCTTTCTCTCTGTTTTGAATAATAATAAATAAAATAAATAATTATTTAAAAATATATTAAAAACTATGTGCACCATGATCTCAATCGGTTTATATCCTAGAAATACATTTGAATAACATTTTCAATGTGTCAGTCATTCACACTCATTTAAATTATGGTTGTCTGCCATTTCACACGTCAACCATGGCTGAGTCATCCAGCTGTGGCCCTGCCTCTCTCCAGGGTGGTAAGACCAGGTGTCTTTCTGGGTCTGTGTCAAGAGTGTTGCCTCCCTTTCTTGAATACCCACTATGTGAAGGCTACGGTACTAAACTTGTGGAGGAAAGAAGATACCTTTTTCTGTGCTCAGTCACAACAAAATGGAGGAGATAAATCACACTGAAATAGAAAGTCCATTGTGATCAGGAAAAACAACAAAACAAAACAAACAAACAAACTAACAAACAGAAAAAAAAAAGAAAGAAAATAATACAGTCTTCTTTACACGTGTTAGTGGTTTGTGCATATGTTTCAAAAAGACATTGCTACTATTCTAAGACACTTACAGGACAGCATTACACAACTATACTCAAAACATCTTTTTTATTCTTTTTTTTTTCTTAGCTGGGACTGTTAGGAGAAGCATTTCTGATTTGTGAGGCCATCCTAGGTCACGTTCCTACAGAACACAAAGTCACAAGGTTTAACATTAGACAGTCTCTGGAACTTGTTTGATGAGACAGTGCCAAACTGTTTCGCAGGTCAAGATATCAATCACTCTGGCAACGACTAGGCTCATGTAGGACCAAACTGGAATTCTGCAACATTCCCAGCAATTCTTGAGCTATAGCTTGGCACACATCCTACTTACACAAGGAAAGTGCACCAGAGCTGAAACATTCATATTCGCTTGGTGCATTGCAGTTCTCTAGTGAGGCAGTGGCAGCAGGGAACTGTTTATAACGCTCTTTTCGAAGACTGATTGTAATTCAGGGATGTCAGGGAATATCTTTACAGAGCATACAAAAGAACAGCAATAACTGTTCTAATTACAAGGAAGACTAATACATTGACTAAGGAAATCGCTGGGAAGAGTAACAAAGTTGTTCCTTGTAGAACAATTCAGAAAGAGAGTAGATATAGAATACAAGTCTCCTTGCTGGTGCTAGTAGAAATAGTAAGGACCTTAAGAGGAATGTCCAGGGACCAGCAGGTGACATGGTGGTTAAAGGTATAGGATTCCCACATGGCTGACTGTGGTTCGAGTCCTAGACCTGGCAGCTTGCTTTCTTGCTTTCTTTTTCTCTCTCTCTCTGTATCTGGTCAGATGAAATAATAATAATAATAATGATAATAATAATAAATGGAATGAAATAAACAATTCTTAACAAAAAGGAGGAATGCCCAGCTAAATGAATGAATTTGTAATGCTGGGAAGGCAGCTTGGACTTGAAATACACACCTAGCATTTGAAACCTGATAACATGGTAGGATTCAGTGGAGCCAGATGCCAGTTACAAGGTGGAAAACCATGCAAAGAGCCATAATTCTCAGCTGGTTCTCTAGTGTAAACATCTTGTCACTTTCAAAATTGCTTTGGTCAAGTATTAATGAATGGAATTTACCATTGTTGCAACTAAGGATACGTTCAGTTCAGATATGTACAAAATGCCCTTCAGAAACTCAAGTTAGGATGATTACGAGGCAAGCATAGAGGGCATGTACAATTGTCTACCACATTCTAGAAAGTAGGTAATCTTTCCTTGTAGCTGGCTTCATCTCTTCTGTTCACTCCTTGCCATTTATTATTCACTTTGGAATACTTGGCCCTTCTTTAATCCTGCACACTATCCTTGGGCAGTCTTCACTGTGCCTGTGGCTTCCCTTGGCCCTTAGGCACCAATGGCTTCCTAGCAGTCATGGGAACATGTTCAGTCAGTCGTTTGAAACATGACTCTGCCACTTCTTACCTCGATTAAGGAAAAGTCACCTTTCCTATGAAGTGGGACTTACAGTATCTGCTTAAAGAGTTGACATTAAGAATAAAATGGTGCAGGTAAAAACACTTGTACATTGTTGAGTCTAAATAATATTAGCAAATATTACTGTTAATAAACATATCTCAGGAAAATCAGAAGCTGTAATCAGAGAGGATTCCTAGGACAGCATGGATTTATAAAACCATTGGCTAACATGTGTTGAGCAATTAGTAGGAGTCAGGAACTGAGCTAACTCTTCATATGTTAACTCATACAATTCTGAAAACCACCCTGTAACTACAGTGATCGCCATTTCCGAAAGCTGGGCAGGGAGGGGTTATGTAACTTGCCAGTGTACGCACCAGTAGGAAGCGGCAGACTGGGACAGGAATCAGTCTGGAGTAGTCTGGCTCAACGGCTCTGTTTGGGTACTGCTATAAAGCTTTGGTATGTGACAAATTTATTTCAAACCATGTTGTTACTTCATTTCATGCCCGTGACTTGTTCTTTTAAAAACAGAGCTAGAAAATATATCCAAGAGAAAGTAAGTGAGAGACTGAGTTTGGAAGGAAGAAGAATGGTTATAAATCCTAAGCTTTTCTTCCATACTTCACAAAAGAAACAATATTCACTGTTAATACATATAAATGCCTGGGTGCTAGGTACTTTGTAAGGATTAGAGATGAAAAAAAATCCTTGTATTAAGAAATCTATGGCACTGACAGGTGGCATGGTGGTTAAGGCACTGGACTACCACACGGTTGACCACAATTCAAATCCTGGACCTGACAGCTCAGCCTCTCTCTCTCTCTCTCTCTCTCAGTCTTTCTCTCTGTTTAAATTGAATAATAATAAATAAAATAAATAATTATTTAAAAATATATTAAAAACTATGTGCACCATGATCTCAATCGGTTTATATCCTAGAAATACATTTGAATGAAGTTTTTGCTACATATTATGATTAAGAGCTTAAAAGGCTATTGTAGAAGTATCAATTCACAAAACTCTTACTTAGACACTTGGTGTTTTTCTTTATGAAATCCTAGAGTTGCCATTAATGAAGGAAAAATACCCACAACTTAAGTATCTCAACCTCACTCCAAATAGGTAGTCAACCTGATCCCAAATACTAAATACCAACCATGCCAGTATAAGGATCTAAAATGAGCTTTTACCATATTGCTTTCTTGCTTCAAAATGTTTCCATGACCTCAATGGTTTGAAGGATAATGCCTGACCTCTTTGGTATGTTACTAGGATTCAAGGCCACTTAGAATCACCTACTACCAGCATTTCTGGCCCCAGCTCATCCCACTTTCCACTGTGGCTGTCAAAGTCCAGTGCTCCATCCCTTCAGTACTAGTGACTCTGTGGCAATGGGCTACTTTCGGATTTCTGTGATGGTACGTACTGTTTCTTTTATGGAATGAAAGCTAGTCACTAGTGACTTAAATGTGATTTTTTAAACTAAGGAAGAGGGAATAGAATTCACTGTTCAATTCCTCAGTCACAGTAGCCACATTTCAGTGCTCAGCGGTCACATGTATCAGGGAGTTCAGGTCTAGAACATTTTCATCATCACAGAAAATCTTTGGACTGCCTTGCTTTAAAGTGCTTCAATTTCCTTCTAACCTTCATCTTTAAATTCTTCAGATTCTTACTATTTCCAGGTGTCCACTCAAAAACAGTCCCCTTCGTGAGACCTTCCTTGATGTGACCCACCTCCCTTTGCAGAATATATCGATTCTGTTATGGGTGTGGCCATTCCCTCCACCCAGATACTGCAGTAGAAACAAGAGAGAAAAGACTTTATGTTTTCATCTTCATATCGAGATTACAGTCTTGCATTATGGTGATGATTTTGGGGATTATAGACAAAGGTCCCTGACCTCAATTTAATTTTTTTTCCTTCATTCCTCTAGAGGTGAAAAGAGAATATTGTATAACATTTCTATGGTGTTACATGGAAAGGTAAGAAAGAAGAAGAGCCTGTCTTTCTAACCCCTCTAAGAATCTGGGTTCATTAAGTGTGCTGGGCTCAGAGGACCTGAATTCATATCGTCTGTAACTCTTCCCTGATCTCTGACAGGTGAATGTGGAGGTGGGACTGCTGATGCTCACTAATTATACCTTCAGCCCACATCCCTCCATCAATGTGTCTTAACTGCCACCTTATCCAAAGCTCTGCAAACCAACTTCTAAAGATTTGCAGGGAAGAAGGCACCTACGTACATGGTACCTATTAACCTCAGCAGATGCCTCGTTTCCTCGAAATTTTGGAAAAGGTTTAATTATGTGATTTATACATAACAGTTTTACAGTAGCTAGTCTCTGAGACTGTAAAGTTATGATTGTGTGCATTGAGAGATCATAATCTTTGGCTATCTTTATTTTAATAGTGTTAGCAACAGAAAAAGAAAAGTAGATTCATAATGCAATGTTAGGATTTTAAAAGTTAGAGTAAAAGAATAAATCCCTGACTCTGCAGCAGGTTAGTACAAGGAGACTATGGAGGGATATGAATAGACTGATGAAAAGCTATACATATTATTTTTTTCCAAATAGGACAAGTCTATCTGGCTTGCTTTCAAGGAGGTTCCTTACACATACCTGGGCTGAGAGGGTTTTTGCAGCAGAAGGAACATAGGCTTCAGAGGCCAGAGGACTGATATTCCAATATCAGTTCAGCTGATAGCTTCCTGAGTGTCCTGAGTAGATTTTGTTGGGAAAAATAGGTCCTGGTATATGGACAAATAAAGAAAGAAGACAGGAAACGTTATTCTGCCTAAATAATAAAACAAGCAGAATTGTTATAGCAGCCTGGATGGACTAGGGACATCTAGGAACCAACTTCTTAGAATTTAATTCCAAAGGTATACTGTTAAGTATACATATATAACCAAAGTATCACTGCAGAACAGTTTGTAATAGCAAAAAACTGGAAACAGTGCAAAAATCCATCAAGAGGGAGTGGGCTGGCTGACTAAACTGTAGAGTACGTAACTAAGGGGGTTCGGTGCTGCTGTAAAAGCTCATACATGACTGTCCAGCATTATCCATAATGTACTGGGTGGACTGGACTGTGTGAAAAGGAGGGACGCAGAAAATATTTGCATAGAATGCTCAAATTGGTGAAGAGGAGAGCATGAACATGCTTAAAAAAAAGAAAGAGATAAAGCATGAGAAGGAGGTGACTATAGTGGGAAAGGAATAGAGTAGAGGAGACAGGAATAAAAAATAAACTTAGTTGAATAGCTTATCATATAGGTTTGGCTTTGAGATCATTCATATATTTTACATAATTAGAAGACAAAAAATTAATTTTATAAAAAGCAACCCCTAAAATGTGTAAAATAAATAAGCATTCAGTTTGTGGCATAATCGCATAGAGAAGAACTATTTCAAATGACCCTGAAGCACAGTTATTTGGTAATACTTCCTAGTGGGATATAACCTAAAAACAAAATAACTGATTAAACAAGTGAAGTATTTTTGGTTGATATGTTGGTATCATTATTCTGAGATGCTGTTTGTGCATTGTGGGGAAAGACTGATTTAGTACTTAAGTACTGATGTTCTAGAAATGTCTTTTTAAAAGTTTCTTTTTGTCTTTTTCCCATGAGTAAATAAGACAGAGAGAAAGAGACAATAACAGCGAGAGAGAGAGAGAGAGAGAGAAAGAGAGAGAGAGAAAGAGAGAGAGAATAATCAACCTCAAAAGGCCTTGACGCCACAATCCGCTCTAGACTCAGCCAGCCCCAGATGATGGGCACATGTACACATAGTATATCTAGGGCAGTCTCTGGATGTGAACCTAGAACCCTTTCATGTACATCAGCCTTGCACAGTAATGCATTACCACTGTGCCACTGTCCCACTCACCCTAATGTTGTTTTAAAATTGAGATGCTGGGCTATCTGTAGTGTGGTGGTTAAAGTAGCTGGATCCCACATAGCTAAATGCACGGTTCCTGCCCTGGACCAAGAAGGGTGCAAGTGTGCATGTGCCCAAACTCTTGAGAACAGAGAAAGGTTTGCAGCAAGACCATGCCTGAGGTAATGCTTTGTAATCTTCTCTCTCTCCCACCTCTGTCTCTGTCTCTTTATCTCTTTGGTGAATGCACTGCAGCAAATTAAAAAGAAAATTGGGGCCCTCCGAGTGGGAGGAAGAGATAAAGATGTAAGTTATATAAGGATAAGTAAAATCACTGTGGTCGTCCATTTAAATCTGAAGAGTGAGGATAAACTAATGATATATTTTAACTTGCATATATGTAATTTTTGTTTTATAGCTTTTTACTTTAAAAACCAGAAGAAGTGACTATTCAGTATTGATCACTTTCCTATCACCCAAATGGTGATATTAAAAGATCATTTCCCACTGCAAAAGTTCAGAACTTATGGGAGAACTGACTAATTCCAGGTTTGGGGCAGAAAATGTGCAAGATGAGTTTGGTATATACTGTCATTATTAGGAAGGAAGAAAACTATCAAGAACTCTAAAGTCATATCAAAAGGACAAAGGATAAAGCTGGCTAAAGATGGAAAAATCTGAGCTTGAATAGGGATAAGAAATGCTAATTATTAAAACATCAGTTATGAGTAAGTCCGAAAATTCATAATGATACGTATAAAAAAATCACTCTCAGTGGTCACTACTGGGGATGTTAGTAAACCAAATCACTATTTTACAACCTGGAAAATTAAGGAAAAAATGTATCCTACCATTTGCATTAGAAGTATTCCACTACATTATTTAAAAAGTCAAAATAGTTTTTCTTTGTGGATATTTTCAGCTAATAAATAAAGAAGGGATTTTAGAATTAGAATATGACTAGGTGCAATCTCCACAGAATCGATAGATCTAGACAGGCATTGGTCATCAATATTTGCTAACAACTTGACAGACCTATGAAACAGTCTTTCTAAAAAAAATTGAGTTCTGGACCAGTAGATGGTGTAGTGGTTATGTTGCCAGATTCCCACATGGCTGACCACAGTTTGAGTCCCAGACCCAGTGGCTTGAAACTCATGCCATGCACGCATATGTGCATGCCCAAAATCCCAAGAGGAGAATGGAGGAGAAGGGATTGCAGTGTGGCCATCCACATGGAGGTGTGGTTTTCCCCTTTCTGCGTCTCTGTCTTTCCCAGTCTTTCTGGCAAGTGCATGTACCTTGCAGCAAAAATCTCTTAAAAACTGAGCATAAATTTGGTTATTTCTCTCTGTGCAAGTACCAACTGAGGAAATGCAAAGGATGAAGAACCATATTAAACAGCAGGATGGAAAAGCAATGAGCAAAATCCCAACTCTAGGAAAGTCTTACAAGACAAATAAGTCATTTCCCCAACAATAAATTGCAAGGAATATAAAGGAGGAAGATAGAGACATAATTAAAAGAGACTTAGAAGACATTACTAGCTTCTGTGGGTCTTATTTGGATGTAAACTGAAAAACTAGCACCCACAATTAAAAACCTAAAAGTAACTAAGTACTTGGTGTCTGAGATGATTGGGAATTTAAAAATCAATGCTGTGGTGTTATTACATGGTAGTGTAACCTTTTAGAGGTGATAATGTTGCCGCCTAAAATCTAGCAGTTGTTTCTGTGAATAACTGACATACGAAGGAAAGGGGGAGAAAGTGTATTTAGCTGTGTTCAAAAGCAGGGAGTGGCCGAGAGACTTATCAAGTCACAACCAGCTCCCAGAAATGGAACCTCCGGCATGTCATATATGTTACATTTTTCGCTTAGCCATTGTTATCTATAGCATAAATTCAGCTAGTTTGGTATTACTGTTGCCCTCATAATTTTCCCAAAATTGTTCTGTTGTTCTGTGCTCTTTTTCCTTTCATATGATGTTTATGACCCTGTTTTTTTGTTTTTGAGAGAGGTTTTTGCTATAGGGTATGTGCACTTGCTGGAGAGACAGAGAGAGAGAGAGAGAGAGAGAGTGAGTGAGTGAGAAACCATTCCCCCCCCCCACACACACACACTTACACCAGCAGAGATGGCCATGCTGCAATCCTTTCTCCTCTATTCTTTTCCCGGGGTTTTGGGCACACATACACATGTGCCCGGTGTGAGTTTCAGTGTGCCTGGTCTGGGACTTGAACCACAGTCACCATCTGGGAGCCCTGTACCTTAATCAGTATACCATCCACTGTCTCCCTACCCCCATGTTTGTTCTTATGGCAACATTGACTCTGTTGACTCAGACTTGTGACAGACTTGATAGATTGAGGGAAGATTCAACATATTTTCTTTAAGCTATATTTAACAAAACAATCTAAACATCTGTGAGTAACTATTATGATAATGGATAACATTTAAACTGTTACTTTCTGTCCCTTGAGTAAAACATTCCCATCTCTTAAGATTTCTTGCCTGAGACCCCAGTCCCTGTTGCAATTTTTGTGACAGTTGTCTAAAACAAGTGACTTAGGTTACCCCTTCTAAGCAAACGGGCTTATTTATGACCTTTTTTATTATAATAGTTATAGATTACATTAATTACAGAAGCTAGAAGCACCAGTTAACCCTTAAAGTATAAAAAAAGAATAAAGAACCCTCTACCCCCCAAAAAAGGTTAAAAACTTTTTTTTGTTACAATAATGGTATTGTGATTATATATTTTAGAATATATTATGTTTTAGAAATTTATACTGCGATATTTGAAATGGTATGATGTTTGGAGTTTGCATGAAACTAATATAGAAGGAGGTGGAGAGTAAAGGAAGATAAAAACTCAAATTGGCCATATCTTGGTAATTGTTGGGACTAGGTGCTTCATGAATTTCATTGTGGTTTTCTGATTATTTTTGATTATTAAAAATGTTCCGGGACCAGCAGTTGGTGTAATAACTATGTTTCTGGACTTCTATGTAGTCTACTGCGGTTCGAGTCCCAGACCCGGTGGCTTAAACTCATGCCTGGAGCATGTGTGTGCATGCCTAAGATCCAGAGAGGAGAGTGGAGAAGAAGGGATTGCGGCGTGGCCATCCCAACTGAGGGGTGATTTCTTGCTTTCTGTCTCTCTGTCTCTCTCTGTCTTCCTGGCAAGCACACACACCCTATAGCAAAAAAATCTCTCTCAAAAAAAAAAAAAATAGTTCAGGAACCAGCAGTTAGCGTAATGGCTATGTCTCTGGACTCCCACGTAGTCGACTGCGGTTCGCGTCCCAGACCCGGTGGCTTAAAACTCATGCCAGGCGCGTGTGCGTGCGTGCCCAAGATCCCGAGAGGAGAA